GCAGGCTGACTCTCAACCACTGCGCCACCAGGGAAGCCCCAGGGCCAGTTTTAACACAGATCATAGCAAGTTTATTTTTCAAAATGCAATTTTGATATTTTACTATTCCTGTTGGGTAGTGGAGGCATTGTTGATGTATAGGGCTTTACAAAATGTTTACACCATCCCATAAAAATCCCACTCGCTCTTAATGGACAAGGTGTTTCAAATGTTGGAATAGTCTTTTAAAACTTGCTGAATAAGTATTTGAATGTGAGCTGCTTCTACCCATCCTGAAAAGATACTAGAGCATATATCTATAAGGATAACATTTTATTTACTGGAGCATATATCTATAAGGATAACATTTTATTTGAATAGATCGTCTGAATAATTACAAATATCCTTCCAGGAGAAGGATGAGCTACCTTCTTTGTCTTTAAGGTTTTTCTCTTACTGTAAGCTTGAAAAATAGGGCAGTTCTGACAGTCCTGGTGAGCTCCACTGGCAAAACTGTAGAGCATGTTACTCACATCTAATTATTCACAGAACCCCTTCTTTGTTCCTGTGTGCCAAGCTGTGAGTTAAATTAGTGGGAGATGGAAGTAATTTTTTGGCAGTACCAAGTGGCCATCGAGGGAGTGCCAAAGATAATTTGGGAACAAAGTCACCCTAACAGATTCCTAAGTATTTTCCCCCACTGAATTTAGTGTTGTCAGAGAAGACTGGTCATTTTTTTAAATCCAGGGTCCAATCTGGGGACAAGGAATAGCAATGACTTGTGTTAGCGACCTAGCAATTTAATTGTCACAGAGGTGGTCATAGAAGGGCCATTTGGACATCTCACCTCCTGCGCAAGTGAGACACCCTTATGGTTTTATAACCATCATTACCTCAAAGCATAGCCAGTGCCATTGAAAATGTTAACACGTTTTTTTTTTTAAGAGGAAACAGTACTCACTTGAGGAAGAAGAGGTTCTGCTGCCTGGGTGCCCTTGGTGTTCAGCTCAGTGTGGAGCGAGGTCGTTTCCTGTCATGTTGGCTTGAGTGGGCTGGTTATTGTCTAAAAGTTTTCTGTCTTCCTAGGCTGCCCCTTTCTTTGGAAGCTTTTTTTTTTTTTTTTTGGTTTGCACCCACTGCCCTTTCTGTGTTGCCAGCTTCTCTGTTATTCAATCCAGGATGCATGAGACAATAAGAAAACTCAGGGAACTCACTGCCACATCACTCCCTGGGTTCTGAGGTCACTTCCCCGTCTCCCTCCTCCTCTCCCCTTTCAGAGTTTTCTATATTTGCTTTATAACATCCAGGCTTTCTAGCAGAAGGAATAAGAAGAGTGAATTGACTCCATCTTGGTCTCTCCAGTATCTTTGTATCAGTTAAATAGGAATTCCATTGGAATTGAGACACACAGCATGAATTTCAGAGGTCTCTAGGGATGCACAGAGTGCGCTTCATCAGAGTTTTCTCCAGTAGAAACCCTGCACCTGGGTCATTTTTTAAAAATCAACTTTTGGGAATTCCCTGGTGGTCCAGTGGTTAGGACTCCTCGCTTTCACTGCTGAAGGAGCAGGTTTGATCCCTGGTCGGGGAACTAAGATCCCACGAGCCGCATGGCGCAGCCAAAAAAAAAAAAAATCAACTTTTGGTTGGTTTAATATTTAATATTTAATAATGAATATTTTATATACAATTGAATGCACTTAAGACTGCACTTTGATGTGTTTTGACAAATATATACACCCATGTAGGCATCACCACCATCAAGATATCGAATATTCTCGTTACCTCCTAAAATCTTCCTTCTGCCCCTTTGCAGTTTCTAGAGTCCTAATCTCTTCCCCAGGCAAGTACTAATATGATTTTTCTCACTGAGAGCTTGGTATTTTGCCTGTTCTCATCCCTTATTTAAGTGGAATCTTATAGTATGTACTCTTGTCTGGCTTCTTTCACTCAGCAAGATGCCTCTAAGATTCAACCATGTTGTGTATATTGGTAGTTTGTTACTTTTTACTGGTGATGGCTATTCCATGGTACAACTATACCTCAGTTTGTGTATCCATTCACCTCTTGATGGACATTTGTGTTGTTTCCATTTGGGGCCCTTATGAATAAAGGTGCTATGAACATTCACATACCAGTCTTTTGGTGGACATGCATCTCTATTTCTCTTGAATAAACAGCTAGAAGTGGAACGAGCGGCTCATATAATAAGTGGATATTTAACTTTTAAGAAAGTGCCAAGCTGATTTCACAAGTGGCTGTCCACGTTTGCATTACCAGCGGCGGGGTATGAGAATCTCATTACTTCATATCACATCCTTGCTCTGGCCGGGGTCCCTGCCTCCAACACCGATGAGGATCCCTCCAGGCCAGTATGGTTTCGGTGCAACACTCAGCCGACGGCACTTCTTGGTAAAGCTAGTCCGTGCCCACTCCCCATGGCCCCCCATCTTAGCTCTTTAAATTCCCTGCACTGGAGTGCTGGGTTAGGACAGACTCTGGGATCTTCTCTTGCACAGACCCAGAACCACTCTTCCCATTTGACTTTTGACCCCGACAGGTCTTCCTCAGATCTAACCCCACATTTTTTTCAGCACAGGGGAATGCTTTCTTTTTTTTTTTTTTAAACATCTTTATTGGAGTAGAATTGCTTTACAGTGGTGTGTTAGTTTCTGCTTTATAACAAAGTGAATCAGCTATACGTATACATATGTCCCCATTATCTCCTCCCTCTTGCGTCTCCCTCCCACCCTCCCTATCCCACCCAGGGAATCCTTCTTTAAGGGAAAACTAATACTGCCAGTTGTTGTTAAGAAGCTCAGCCTGAAAGAGGTGTAAAAATCTTTTGGAGGGGTACTAGAGACTGGTAAACCAATCAGGTTTCAGTGATCTGGATAGGAGGTAATGAACAAGATAACTTTGTAGCTGTTTTAATCCCAATAGACCTGGAGCCTATTAATATTAATACAAAATTTTTTTCATTGAAAATGAGGGAAAAAAGACTTTATGCAAAAGAAATATTCCTCAATTAATTCCAATAATTCAGTTTCAATTAATTTGAAAATAACTTTTACCATCTCTTTCTCTTTATAGTGGTAGTCATCAGGACATTAAATTTTATTTGGAAAATCCCTCAACCCACCCCACACTGGCTAGTATTTTTTCCATTTTCTGGTGGTCACCTTCTCATTAGACCACCTACTAGGAATCCTACTCAATGATACGTCTCTCCTTAAACAGCAGGGACATTTTGGTCATGACATCACTGCAAGAGGCCCAGAGAAGGGGGCCAGGTGAATTTAGTCCTGTATGGGCCTTAGTTTCCCCATATTTAGATTGAGAGTATTTTAAAAAGTAGATCTCAGGCCACGTGACCTGAATTCTTGTGAATGTACATTACAGCCTCAAGTAGTCTGCAGAACAGGATGGAAGGTGTCTGAGATGGTAAGAGATGCTTCCTCCAGGGCAAAACATTTCCTAAAAGGACAATTTTCTTTCAGGGTGTGGTATCCGGAATTTTTTCGCTGTAATTCTGTAGAATACGTTAATCTAGCAAGAAGAAAAATCACCTGGTGAACTTCCAGCTGAATCAAAGCTGATTCATAAAGTGTCTACCAAGTGTTACTCACCTCCGTGCTCAGCCCTCAGCCCTCACTTGGAGGTGGGCATGACCAGGCAGGCACAGTGGGTGGAATTCTCACATGCCCCCCCAATTCCTGCCCGCTGGTGTCCATGCCCTGTATGATTCTCACCCCTTGAGTGCAGGCGAGACCTGGGAATATGGTGGGATTTCACTCCTGTCATAGGTTAGGTTATGTGGCAGAAGTGAAGGGATTTTGCAGATGTAACTGTCTCCAACTGGTTGCCTGTGAATAATCAAAAGGGAGATGATCCTGGCTGAGCCTGACCTGAGCAAGTGAACACCTCAAAAGGGGGCCTGGGCCTTCTCTGGAGGGAGGAGATATTTGAAGTGAGAAATCCTCCTGCTGGCCTAAAAGCAAACAGCATGTCATGAACCGCCTGTAAAGGGGCCCTCGAGGCGAGGACCCGAGGGTGGCTCGTAGTTGCTGAGGGTGATGTCCGGCTGACAGTCAGCCAGAAAACAGCCATAAGGAACTGAGTTCTGCCAATAACTTTAATGAGCCTGGAAATGGTTTCTTCCTGAGTCAAACCTCCAGATGAGAACACAGCCCATGGGCACCTTGATTTCAGCTTGGTTGGCCCCTGACCTGAGGACCTAGCTCCACTGTGCCTGGACTCCAGACCACAAAACCTGTGCGAGAATAAATGTGTTGTTTTAAGATGCTGAGTTTGTGGTAAATGGTTTTGCATCAGTAGAAAATGAAAGCAGTAGGGACCAATCCATATTCACACTCTTGCAGCTTTCTGCAGAAGGTGCTTGCAGCTTGAATTCACAGCACTAGCACAGCCGCCTCGCACGTACATACGTGCAGTGAATCCAACCTATTATGAGCTCTAGGAATCTGAGGGAAGCCATGGACGATCCCTTAGGAAATACATGAGCCTTGATGTAGGACAGAACTGATTGCTTGTGAAGTCCTAAGCCATGTGCTATATATGCATCCTCTCTAATCTTCCCAACCACACTGCAAGGATGATGTTATAGTTATAATTATTTTATGAATAAGAAAACTGAGGTTCACGGAGGTGAACGAAAATGCCCAAGGTCATGTAGTAAACGAGCAGAGACATCAGGCTTTGTGACTGGACCTTGCTGATCCCAAAGCCAGGGAGCTTTCAATTTCACAATGGCTCCTTCCTGTTTCTGACCTCCACTTTGTTTTTGAGTTCCTAAAAGCCACATCATCATTCGGCTTCCCAGTTGCCCAACTCTGTGGCATGCTCACGCAGTCACTCCTTGCTTGGAGCGATGCCTGGAGCCCAGACTCTCCTTGTTGGTCTTCTTGCTCATGTATGTTTGCTGCTACCCACACACAACACCATGGACAGGTGCTCCCGACTTCATTCCGCCAGCTATAGGAGCTGCTGCTGCTTTGCTTTCTGGATCCTAAGGTGACAGATGGGTGAAAGAAGAATGGAGTTGGATAGAAAATCGAAAAGGAAAGCAAAAAAGAAAATTATGGTGTGTTAAATGGATTGCCAAGAGACTTTGAAATTTTTTAGTTAAGAAAACCAGTGTATACATCACAGGATAGGGGTCTGCCCATTTTCAACCAAATTTGACTCCAACTCTGTAGTGTGCCAGCTCTATCCTGAGGCTTGTTTACCCTCCTTTAAGGTGGCTTCTTTAAGTGATGCACTAAAGTATAGTTGTGGGTCATCTTGAGGGCAGGTTCTGGAAAAGTGAGTCTCTGCCATTCGTTCACATTGTTCATAACGATCTGAGATCTTGCATTCTTCTGCTCTCTCCTCCAGCTACTCCCCCCACCCCCACCAAGAAAAGATCCTTTCTGATCGTCTATCACTTTGACCAACTCTCCATACACATGCTGATGCAGTATCTCACAAGGACAAAGCTCTGAGGATCAGGTGTAAGGTGTTTTCCCAATCTGTTTTACAGACACACGCTCCCTTCTAGATTCCAGGTGCATGCTTTGGCTTGTGTTTTCATCCGGTGTCCTTTAAAGAAGTGAGTAATCGGGGGATTGTAGAAAGAGCAACGACTTGGGAAGCAGAAATGCCTGGATTCATGTTCAGGTACTACCAACCACAGGCTGTGTGACCTTAGGCCAGTTGTTTAACCTCTGAGCTTTCAATTACAAAATTTCAACGTCAGTTAGCAAATTGAGATGATAATGCTACTTCCTAAGATTATTGTGAGAATTAAGGGAGATACTGTTTGTGAAGAGCTTGGCATAGAGAAATTGCATAAGGGTAGCTACTGTCATAAGCACATGTGGCAAAATCTGCATCCTCACGTCCTTTCACCCTGTCACAACTTCCTGTTCCCGCACTGTTGATTTGGCTGTGAGACGCAAGGCCTTCATGGCCCCAAGGAGACGTGTCGCATTAAGTTCTTGTGTTTTGATGTTTACCAGCTGAAGGCCAGGTGTGACAGACAGAGAAGGCTGATCTGCCTCTTCCCTCTCCGTCCTCCCCGCCACCAGGTGAAACTCCTCCGAGCTGGGGAAGGGAGGAGACCTGGTGAGGAGAGAGCCGGGGTGAGTCCATGCTGAGGGCCTCACAGAAGGAGCCCTGCTGTGCAGCCCCTTAGATTTGGGGTTCTGCAACTTAGAACAGACTGGCACCCCATTTCCTGCTTGGATCCCTGAAGGAGAAGCTCCCGCCGCGCCCGCCCCATCATGGTAGCTGTAGAATAAGGCATAAGCGGTAGAAAGGGCTTAAGTAGGTGGGCTGGGGGCAGCCTCCCAGACACCCTGCTTGTCCCACCAGGGCTCAGGAAACAGCTCAATAACCTTCCTCTGTGCTCTGAGATGCAGCTGACTTTGATGGGTGAAGGGCAGCAGAAGAATATGCCGCCCTGAAAATACCTCTTTGGCATAGGATTCGTTTGAGAAACTACAGACACAGGAGAAGCTCTGAAAACAAAGGAGAAGTTACTCTTTTGCAAGAGAAATGTGCATTTACAAAGGAAATTTCCACTTGTAGGGTTCTCTCCCTCTCCATACCAGGAAGGGAAGGAAAACCCTTAATCACAAGGGACCTATCAACGGAGGAGGTACAGACTGAAATCTGTGTGACAAACCTTACCCTTGTTTACCTTGCTCTTCCTGGCAACTGTCCCCATAACTGAGCTCCCCTCTCTTTTCTTTCTTTTGTCTTTAGTGAAGAGGTTATTCAAGCCAGTGGTTTAGGTCATGTTGGGGAGTTACTCGGTTTTGCTGGGTGTCTCCCATGTACACACAGGTTCATAAACTTCTGTTCGTTTATTGTCTTGTGAATCTGTCTTTTATTACAGGGACCTCAGCCAAGAACTCAGAAGGGTAGAGGGAAAATTATTTTTCCTCCCCAACAAGGGCCTCGTGACTGGGGATGAGAGGACGCAGAGTGGCCGCAGAGTACACCGTGAGAGCAGAAACCCCACGGGAATGCAGGTGTCCTGATGGATGCCAGAGGGGGGGGGAGGGGAGGAGGACAGTCAAACAGAATGACGTTCATCTCAGCAGGACCCACGGGGCACCCGTGACACTGGAAAACCAGATACCTCCAACCTCCTCCTCCCTGCGTGTCATGATGCTTCACAAACTCCCAGGCAGGGAGTGAGCCCCAAGTTGGATGGTTTAACTCTGAGTGGATTGGGTTTGCCCTAAACCGATGAGTTCTCCACTACCAAGCAGAACTGAGGTTCAAGTAACTTGACATATTAACAGAGTGATAAAGACAGTTCGCGTATCCAGTGACCCCACCCATGTCACAGATCTAAGCCTAAATCAGCCTGCTTTTACCAGAAACTCCTGCCAAGGAAGCCTGACATACACCACTCACAATCCTCCAACTCAGCTTTAGCTAGTTTACTTTACCCTAGAAAACAGGACCTGCTAGTTTTGTAAGGAAATCCCCACCCTCCTACCCAGTCGTGCTGTTTCCACGTGGCCTCTTCTCTCTGTAAACCTCCTTCTTGCCCAAAATCCCTCCGGAAGTGGGTTCCACTGCTTGTGAGACGCTGTGCTCCCCAAATCCTTGAATAAGGGACTTCAAACTCATTACTAACTCGTTTTCGTTTTGTCATTAAATGAGAAAGTTGTGAGGGTAAACAGAATATGCCACCCCAAAGTAGCCACTTGGACATGTGGATGTTTTGGCCTGAAGGCAATGAAGACCCAGCAGTCTCTGGAAAAGCTTTTTGCCTCTCCCTTAACTGCCTAAAGGAATTTAGATAAAGGAATTTAGATAAAGGGCTTGTTGCCCTTTATCTAAGGGCAAAAGAGCTATTACTAGAGAGAACTTTTATATCAGAAAGACTTATCTGCAAGGCAAGGCAAACATTTGTTTACCAGCCGTTTTTTTCTTCTCCTCTTCCTGTGATTTGTCTTCCTGCCCTTTGAAGCCCAGACCCCTACCCCCTTCTTCTTGGCTCAAGAAGGATGGTATGTAAGCCTCACTTAGAAGGGGCACAAAGTTGAGAGCTCTAAGTACAGATAAGTCAAGAAAGTAGTTTCCCTAGTTCTACTGGCATTTCCAACAACAGCAAACTGATGGATACGTAGAATAACCTGCCATGGTTCTCTAGAGCTTTAATCTGTCAAGACAACTTTTCCATCGTTATCTTTTTAAAAATTCTCATGTCACTACTACTGGAAGGAAGATATTATTGCCCCCATTTTAGAGAAAGAGAAACTGGAGTTCCGACTGGGGAAGAGGCAGCTAGCGGGCGGATTCCAGAGCTGGTACTACCCAAACTACACGAAACCAACCCAGTGGAGGAAGTGGGCACGTGGGAGGTGAAGCAGGGCAGGGGGGAATTCTGAGCTGAAATGAACTGTGACTGTATTTAGTGAAAAACATTTCTTAGTCATAGTTTACCTGTAAGCTTCACATGCTGAAAAAAATGGGTTGCTCAAGACCTTCAAAGACAGTGCAGGTGTCAACTAGGAATTTCCCAGAATTTACTTGATGTGATTCAAAATTATGCTCCCGTCCAACTAAGCAAGTTGATATCAGTGCAGTGGTTTGAAGGGACTTTTACATCAGGGCTTGAACACAGAGTAGATGCCCTTAAGGCTCATAGATAAACTTTCCCAATAAGCTTCCATCGGTGACTTGATGGCTTTCAAGAAGAAAACTGGAAAGAGAATCCCTAACACTTCTAGTGGTTAACTTTAAGGATGTGAATGTATTATAGTGGCTCTGAGTCTAGCCTATCTTTTTTATGTTTTCCTTGGGTAAACCAAACCACTGTTTTGGTTCAACTATTTCAACCTATTAATTCTGCTCTATGCTTGAGGGCATGTGAGGAGATGAGAGAACCTAGGGGGGTAAATCAGGTTCTAATTTTGTCCCATTTTGTACTTACATGAGAAATTCAAATGAAATATAAAGGATATTTGATTGCTTTGAATATCAGAGAGATATACCCAAAAAGTTCATATTAAATTTCTCACAGTAAAGGTTTTTTGAAAAAAATTTGTTTAGAAGGTACCAAGGGTACCTTCAACAGGGATTAACTGAAACGAAAATAGGCAAATGGAATCTGTCCTTAATGGACAGACTTTTAATATTTAGATCATTTAATTTTGTATCAGCCTGGGTTGGGTCAAGGGTGTGATGATAAATCACACCAGAGCTGATACACACAAGACAAATCTGATTTGTTCGCAGTGCAAGGTCCTAAGCTCACAGCTGGGGACAGAGAGCCACGAGGAGGGTGAGCAGGAGATGGGGAGAGCAGGGTGAGGCGTGGGTGCAGAACAAGATTTTGGTACCCAGACTGCCCCCATCACTTACCCCCGCAGGAGTTCAACCCGTTCTCACAGATTTACAAATAATTGAAACTCTCAACAGACACCACTTGCACATTTTATTGCTCAGTCTCTTACGTCTGAATTTGCATCAGCAACAGTAGCTCTGGAAGCAAACGTTCAAAACAGAGACCCAGCAGCATTGGCTGGAAACAGGCAACTACGATTTCTACCTGGTGCTTTTGTCTATTTTATGTTCCAGTTACAAATTGGAAACAAAAATATATATATTTTAAAGTTTTGAGCAGAATTATCGGTTATGTTTTCTAAGCTTTAAAAATGAGCAGGGACCTTGGAAAATGTGAGATTATGTCCCTCCTTATTTTGGGAGTGAGGAGGAAATGAAGGAGGTGGGAGTTAAAATGCCCTTTCTTTTATGAATGGTGATAACAGGTGGTAGTTTTAAACAGTGTTAATTGGCAGAAACAGAAGGTGGATTTTTAAAGGTTCCCTAAAAGCAAAGGTTTATAAACAAAACTACATTTTATCACATTATCTTATACTATACTCCTGCACATGGAAGCTCATTTCAGCAAATCAGTGCCCATAGGGAGGAGGACACATCCAGCATTCTCACCCCTTAGTTCCATGACCTCAGTTCCAAAATGGTCTTTCATACTACTTCACTCTTCAACTTAATCAGTCACATCTTTTTCATGATTGAATTTGCCCCACCTCCCATCCATTCTCTGACTACAATCTGCAATCCTTTTAGTCTTATTGTTCCACTGCTTGTACGATGAGGGTTCTTCAAATTCATCAGGACCATCAGGCCACAGACCACTCTTCTTATTCCCTAAAATTACCCCCTTCTGTGTTCAGTGCCCCGTCTCTCCAGCTTAGCTCCATGGTCCATCAGTTGAGTAGTAACTCATTTTGCAGTCTCCTGAAGTCCGTGGCTCCTCTTTTTTTTTAATAAATGTGGGAAAATACCCAAAGTTGGATGAAGCCAACACATACCAAGCAGCTGAATTATCCTAGATAAAACCCCACAACAGGGCAGGCTGGTACCACTGTGATTCACCATCGCTGGTTTTAACTGGGTCCTAAACGCTGCCCAGCGATCTCACTAAACTTCTCCCGTCAACTCACTCTCCAGCTCTTGACAATGGTTTCAAAGCTTCCTTATTCTTCTAACCCTTTGAACAGTTAACTTTGAGCACAGTCATTGTCTTCTACTTCTTAAAAAGCAGAGTGTTATAACCTCCTGCTACAAAACTTACAAGCCTAGCTTTATTCACATCCAGCTTCTCATATTTCCTCCCGTTAAAAACAAACAAACAAAAAAACCTCACCTCCTCTCTGCATCCCCACAATTAGCTCAGATTTAACCCTCTCTCATTGCTTAGGAACCCTACGCTGTCAGTTACTTTTCCCTCCAGTATTTTCAGTCTTTTTCCGGACTGGATTCTCGCCATCAGCATTTAAACATGCTCAAATCTCTCACACAACACAACATTTCAACTCATTTCCCCCTCTAGCTACTTCTTCCCGCCAACCCCACCCTTCCTTCGAAGGCAATTTCTCAAGTTTTCTGTACTTTTAATTTCCGTTTCCTCACTTGGCACTCATATAGCAGTCCTCTCTAAGCTGGCTTCTGCCTCAATGTTTGCACAGAATCCCCTTTGTCAAGATCACCTATAACCTCCTGTCACAAATCCAATGCATATTTCAAACGTTCATTTTCTCTGAATTTTCAGTAGTTTGCCCCAGCAGGCCACTTCCTCGGGAAGCAGTTTCTTCCCTTGGCTTTCTCACCCTATACTCTCCTGTTTCCCCACCTTCAGCCCTGGCCATCCTTTTCGGTCTCCTTTCCTGGGTCTCTAGATGTTGGAGCCTCTTCCCGCTGCACTAGTACTCTGGCCCTAGGTGGGATCTGTAGGTATAGCATCCTCAAGGCCCCACTCTGCAGCATCTCCCTGTTAGCCTCACCTGCTCTCCTTCTGCTGACTCCCCTCCACCCACAGTGGCCTCCTCAATGCTCCTTAAACCTGCCAGGCAGAAATGAGTCTTTGGAAATATTTCAGTAAAATCAGTGAATTAGCTTTCAATACATTGGCCAAACATGCTTCCCTCTTGGGAAACTGTATATGAGGCTGTTAGGTCCCTGAGCTGACATTTAAGTCACCTAAAACCAAAGCATAAGGTGTAGATCAGACATTGGCCTCTTAGCTCAAACATGCTACTTAATAGCTTTTGCACCAACTTTAAATCTGGAAAAACATTTTCTTGAAAGGGAGATGCTTGCTTTTTCTGAACATCCCTAAGCATTTCAGTTCCTCAGTTCTTTCAATTATCAACGTAGCAGACGGTAGAGATTCTGTGCACAAAAATTCTTTGATGGATATTTCTTGGTCTGCCTCATCATGTGATAATTTATTACAATCATATTGCAAAGGATAAGGATGGAACAACTGGAGAGTGAATTAAGAAACGAATGTGAATAGTCTAGTTTGCTCCTTGAGCTATAAAAAACTGATGCTGAGTATTACTTTGGGCTCAAGTTCTAATATCAAGCGTGTTACGATTTCTCAGCTAATACCTACAGAGGTTGAAGCAAAGAAGAAAATAAACAAGCTAAACAAAATCCTGCAACATGGCTATGGACAGCCATGGCATCCCTCCCAGCCCTACCCCCGTATGGAACCACGTTCTCATTCCTGAAAGTTTTGTGCCATCCCCATCCCCCCTTGATTTGATTCCATTTTTGAGGCCAGGTAATAATACATTGACACGGTTCCAAAAAGTCAAAACGATATAGAAAAGTCAACACAAAAGAAATTTCACTTCCATTCCTGTTCCCATCCACCATTTACATTTGTATTAGTGCCCTTTATCCTCCTGGTGTTGCTTTACGCATATTCTTATGCTCTCCCCGCCCCCTAGACCTTTTTTACACAAATTACAGCATACTGTCTATGGCGTTCTGTGTTTCGTCCTTTCCCACCTGATCATACATGCTGGAGACCTTTATCAGTTCAAGAGGGTCCTCCTCGTTCTATTTTACAGCAAGTCGTGTTCCACTGTGTGGATGCAACAGTGTATCTAACCTATCGTTTTTACAGCTGGGTTGCTGTAAAAGAATGCTAAGGTGAATCATTGCGTATATACTTTTGTACATGTACGGGTGTATGGGCAGTTTGAGCTCCAAGACCTGAGATTGCTACTTCAAGAGTAAATAATTGGATAGGTATTGCCGGATTCTCCTCCACACGCGGTTGTGCGGTCCCACCAACGGGGGATACATTTCCCCACAGCTCAGCCAACAGAATGTTGTCAAATGAGGTCTTTTGTCCGTCTGCTAGATGACAGATGATACCTTAGTTTAATCTGAATTTCTCTTGTGATGATTAAGATTTTCATCTGAGGTATAAGGGACATTTGGTGTTTTTCTATGAACTGTCTGTTCATGGCCCTTAGTCCATTTTTCTATTGGGTTCTTGGCCTTGGTATTTTTCTTTTTAATATTGAAGACTTCTTTATTTAGCAGAGATTAGAATGGGCTCTACTATCAACGTACTACAGAACTATAGCTTTAAAAGAGTCTTAAGGGAGTTATTCATGTCACCCTCTACTCCTTGGAAACAGGAATCCCCTAGTCCCAATTAGAGAATTTTATTAGTTTTCTGACTTAAAAGTAATGTACATTCACTATAGAAATACTGGAAGAAATGTAAACCACTCATGTTTGCACTTTCTCATATTTCTCTTCTAGGTACATAAAACACAAAGGGGACTTCTTCCCCTGTCACAGCTCCTCTCCCAGAGCTGACCATCTGGGGACATCACAGGTTTTTTTTCAACCCTCCCCCGCCCCCAGTTCTTCCCCCCACCCTCTATTCACCCTACTAAAAATTTATGGGTTGAAGTGATTCATTTCAGCAATATCCTTTATACTCTGCTACTCCCCATTCCTCCAAGCAAGGAAACAAACAAAAATATGGTCATATTTAGGGGCTGTGATCTCTGCAAACTTCGTATCCTTCCTGGCATCATGGTAACTTTAGAAATGGTCTTCTGAGAGGGACCTGGGAGAAAAGGAAGGCTGCTTATCCTATTCGGTAATTTGCCACCATCTCAAAGTATTTGATTAAAGGGTCCTGTTGCATCTTCTCTGGCCCTTCCAAATCAAGCACTTGGTTAAAAATATTTTAATTTCAGCGAGTAGCACATCAGAAACAACAACAAACACTTGAATGTGATGGTAATTTTAAGTTAAAATTTATATTTGGAAATAAAAATTCATAATAACAAATTTTTTATAAAATTGTCACATAGGGGTTTCCCTGGTGGCGCAGTGGTTGAGAGTCCGCCTGCTGATGCAGGGGACGCAGGTTCGTGCCCCGGTCCGGGAGGATCCCACATGCCGTGGAGCGGCTGGGCCCGTGAGCCATGGCCGCTGAGCCTGCGTGTCCGGAGCCTGTGCTCCGCAACGGGAGAGGCCACAACACTGAGAGGCCCGCGTACCGCCAAAAAAAAAAAAAAAAATTGTCACACAGGAACACACTTTAAGATACTTCATTGACTTCGAAAAAATTACAGACATAGCCAAAACAAATAGCTTTCATTTATAAATGTGAGTTCCTTTCTTTCAGCAAAAGAAGGCTCACAGGAAATGTCAGACGGAAAAGCAGCGGGATACAGCGATGCAGGGACGGCTCAACATCTCTTGAGCTAGGAGGCTCCTAGCCTGCTGTCCCCAGCTCGGGCCATGCTGCTTCTCCTCTCTGGCCTTCAGTTTCCCTGGGCACCAAAGGAGGGAAGACTGAATGACTGCTAACGTCCTGCATGCCATGGTCCTTTCATTTCAGAGAACCGTATATGATCACAACAGTATCATTCTCCTTTGATTATAAATGTCAACAAAATACAACTTAACATGCTCAAAAATTTTACTACAAAGAGTGCTATGATTTTTCCCATCCTTGGCAAAGGATGGTTGAGGGCCCATATTATTGGGCCACACTCACCGCTTATATTGGAAAATGAGGAAATGCTAATGAAATTGCTTTTATGGGCTGACATTCATGGATGGCAGAAAGGGACATTCCAGAAGGAGTCCAGGATTTGCTCTTCAGGAGTACTTCAGCTCCCAAAGCTTGGTGGCCAAGTGCACACGTGGCCACACCCATGTCTGCGTGCCGTCTGTCAAGGTCACTGAGCACTTGTTATCGTTGAAGGGGAGAGACCTCAGGATTTTCCCCTAACAACACTCCGAGCGTCTTGTAAATCATATTCATATTCATA